AGTATCGTTCTCTGAAGTCAACGATGTGCAACGTCAGGAACTACATTACCCACGTTTTCCTGTCAGAGTGATCCCATCCAGACACGGCTGTAGCAGATTCACGTGGGATTAAAATGGCTGCAGACTGCGGTAATCCTGACGAAAACCACCAGACGGTTCCAGGTAGCTCCAGTCCCATGTGAAAAGGGTTTAACGTCACTTCGTTCCCGGCCGCTCAGAGCGACGTGGAGCACCGGCCTCTGCTCTGTTTAGTCTACAGACTTCCACTTTGTTAGTTTGTTGAAGTAGCAGACTGACAAGATGTGACCTGACCCCGCTGGATTTCCATACAGGAGGGAAGCTGCCATCTTGTCTTACAACGTCAATGTTTATCGACCCCTTGCTACTGCTCCCCCGAGGACCCGGCTCTCACACGCTCTTTTATTTCCTGCTGAGAGTAAAATAAGAAAACCTAAGAGAAAGGACGGTAGCTTCCCTGGGAGCTGGAAAATGGTCTTGACATACAAGCTCAGGGAACGTTTTCAAAAATCAGCTCATTCTGTTTTTATAGGAGTGTTATGCTACACAGATCCCACATGAGAACGTCCCGCATCGTTCCCATCAGACCTCATATTCGCTGTGACTTCCTTTTCATCAACATCTCAGTAAGAACTGCCACTCCACGACCACGAAGCTCAAATCAAAGCACACATCAAAAGACGCACCAATAACAATGAAGACCGTTCAACAGCGGCACAGAATGAAGCAGTCAATGAAGACAAGTGATCAAAAGAGAGACAGAGAGTGTCAAAAGGAGAATCTGCCCTTCTATAATCAACCTTTGAGGAATAGATAAAGTTCTTCACTCCAGCAGCAGGAGTCAAAAGAACATTGCAGCTAATTAGAAGACGCATGTAAAAATGTTAGAGGAGCTGTCCGTTCAGCACCACAAAACTACAACACAAGTAAAAAGAAATTAGAAATTATAATATTTATATTTTTTCAGTGTCCTGTGTTCTAAGCCCTCAAAGAGATTCGGGGCTATATAAATATAATTGAATGGTCTTTTTTTTCTCACCTCACTGTTAAAATACTGTGATTATTTTACATTTTTTCAATTATATAGTCTAACTAATAAATTGGCCAAACCGATATTGACAAGGAATTTGAGTAATGACATTCCTGAGATATGGTAAATGGACCTTTCTAATCTTCCGACCACTCAAAGCACTGTATGTCACATTCACATTCATACAGTGATGACAAAGGCCATCACAACAGAAAGTAATTCATTCATCCACATATCTCGCTCAAAGACACTTCAACATGCAGCAGGAGGAGCCAGGAATCGAACCACCAACCGTCCGATCAGTGTAGGACCCGCTCTACCTCCGGAGCCACAACCCTGTTATAGTTAACCTTTATGTTGTGTTTATGTCATGTTTGTGTTATGAAAACAAGCCGAAGAGGCGATAACCAAACACCTTTGACCTGAGCAGAGCACTGTTTGACCTTTGCCTCCAACAATGATTGTTAAGCTGCCAAAATCACCTGACTGCTACCGGGATCAGTTTCAGGCTGAACTCGAGGTTCACACTCGTGGTCAACCCACTTATATTGATTGTTCTTCTTTTCCAAACCTTTATTTATCGAGAAAAAAACCAAAAAGCATTCAGCGACTCTATTATGCTTCAATAACACACTGATGCACAACCAGTCCTCTACTGTTACTATTGGTTTTTAAAGGCCAACATCGATTTGTCTTTTCTTTATTTCTGTAAAAATTGTCATTTATAAGCTGTTCTGGAGCTTCGGACTGTACCAGCAAACTCAATCTGCTGATGAACACCATGTGATACGGTTGAAAGCTCCAGAACAGCTACTGAACTGTTTCTCTGTCCACTGTTTCCATCTAAAGAAAATATGTGTGTATTACAGATCAATTAAACAATACATAATGTAATCAGGTAAACTATCTATGTATCAGTCAGATCAGACGTTTGATATCTAAAATTTAATAAAAGCATGATATAAGTTTACATTTAATACAGACATGAAGAGCTGGTGATGGGAAGTACAATGAATCAGTCCAAAGTTTGGGAGTAAACAAGTTTCACAGCTGTGATATGAAAACTTACTTTACTTTCGTATGTTTAACTTTTTGTGTTTGTCTTCCTTGTGTTGTTTGTTGTAGGGAAGTTGTATAAATCCTCCATGAATCCTCTATGATTGGAACGATATATAATATATTTATATATGTTTTTCTTTAACACAAGTATTTACAAACCCAAAGAATTTACAAAATGACAACAGAAATACAGTTCTAATATTTTAATCATCAATCAATCAATCTCACACACACACACACACACACACACACACACACACACACACACACAGTCTCCTGGTATCTGTTGGCTCAGCTGCTGAGGAGCGATATGCGGAGAGGGTGTGTGTGTGTTTCTGTAGTGGTGACCAGACGTCCCGTCCGGATTAGACTGTCGCTACAGGATTAACCCACTCACACACACTAATGATGTGGTCACATAAGAGCACATGAAGACACACAGTTTCTTTGTGGCACTCTTTCTTTTTTGTCTTTTACTGCTTAGATACGGACACTCCCTCAGCCAGCGTTTCTTTCATGTCTGACTGTAAAAGTTCTGAGGCCACCGAGAGAGCATTTGCATGTCAATGTGTGAATTTGCACGTTTTATACAACAGCTTTTTACACAATTTGCGGTCGCCTATTGGTGTGTTTGTGCTCGTAAATGGGTTCGTTCTCACTTGTTCTGCATGAGCAGAAACATTTGTTGTGTCTGTCGGAGCATGGAAGTTTATAAGTGTGTTTTGTGTCCTGGAGACGGAGTGTTCCTGTTTGTGTGTTCTTTATTTCTTGTACTTACTGTTGCAGTTTTGAGGTTATGTGGTTATTTGGAGTTATTTGCCCCTGGTCTGCTGTGTCGGGGATGGGTCGGCAGACGAGTGCCTGTAGGCGGATAAACACAATTTGTTTAATGAGCCTCCTCACTTAGCGTCTATTGAACTGTCTGTTAAACTGTGAAACCTAAAATAGCTGCAAACCACACATTTAACTTGTACATATCAGTTGATGTATAATCATCCTCCGTGTTTGTTTTCACTTTCCATCCTGTGTGAGCCGCCTAAAAGACGAAGGAAAAGAAACGCCAGCTTCGAACACTGTAAAACTTCATACTTTCTCACTGCTTTTCATCTCAAAGACCCCTAAATTGATACAAATTAGACTACGGTCCACCATTTTATAAGATTTTGTCCCCCATCGGATAGGATCTTTGTTTTTAGATGTTTTATTACAGAAAATGTATTAAACCTATGACCAAAGGGTCACACATTCTGTCTTTGTGTTACTTACAGATACCCCACTTTGAAAAACACTGGACCAGAAAACTATTGTTTCTAGTGATTAATTAAATTATTAAATACATTTTTCCTCTCTTGATTGAGTATTGTTTTTAGAGCTGAGAAAGCATGTCCGGTCCTCACTAAAAGCAGTTGCATATTGATGCAAAATTAATTTCAGCTGTTAGTTTGGTACAGTTACATACTGCAGTATAGACAGTTTATGGCACCGTCCCTCTCTCTCTCTCTCTCTCTCTCTCTCTCTCTCTCTCTCTGTCTAAGCCCTAGACGATGAGCCGTCTGATTAGAGCTCCTCTCTGGAGTCTGTGAATACACACACACTTTTCCAGAGCAGTCTGTAGTCTCCACGTACATGCAAAGACAGATACATCCACACACATGCAGACACTTTAAGAGGCTGAGCGACAGTCTACTACACACACACACACACACACACACACACACACACACACAGTGAGATACCAGGCTGTAGTCTCCAGTCTCTAAACCCTCTCAGTTCTCATAGAGATAAGAAGTGCGTCTCATTGTTGGCAGACAACGGTCCCGTTATCACCTTATCAGAGAGTCAGTCCAATCTCGAGGAGGCGGGGCTGCAGAGTGTGTGTGTGTGTGTGTGGGTGTGTGTGTGTTTGACAGGGGTTGGGGGGTGCTTTGGTTAAGTGGGGCTCCTTTGTCATGCAACAGGTGCTGTTGTCGCTCAATTTGTCTTGATGCTAAAGGCTTCTGAGAGCTGCAGTGTGTTTGCATCAGTGTGTTCAAGAACAAAACACAGCTGACTGTTCAAACGTCCGTTAATCCTCATTCTCACTCCCGACTAACTGACTGACAATGTGACGACCCATCCGAGGTCGTACTTTATAAAGACGACACGTGGCTCATTAACACTTTGAGCACAACCCCTGTCAGTGCAGAGAATACGTCCCCACGAAGCCGGACAATGTCAGACAACAGAACGGGTATAGAATAGTAATTTGATCGCAGCTCATAAATACTGATTCATTCATTCAACTCTTCATTCTCAGATCAAATCACTATTTTATGATCCCAAAGTTGTATTAATGTTAAGTTTGTCTAATAAGTTAATGACAGCTGTGGTTTGTGATCAGCTATACTGACAATTACACCATGTCTGCAGGTTCTTAAAAAGTGAATTTTAGATCTCAAAATGTCTTGAATATGATATGGATCGGTCTTAAAAGTTGCTCGTATTAATACAATTAATAAATATTAACATTTCTGTCTTCTGCGTGTTTCTGACCCGGGTATTTACAATTAGACATGAGTTGTGTGCCGTGTCAGTGTCAAGAAGAACAAAGAAAACGGAATTTTTTTTTATAACTATGACGTATGTCTGGAGAGACAAAGCTCTCTGTGCTCTAAGATTTATGTTTAATATGTTGAGGGACTTTCTGATTATAAAACTGTGGTTTGATCTGATTTGACATCCCAGTGCAGGAGCGATTACATCACTATAGACACAGAAGAACTTATAAAGGAGAACACTAAATTGTGACCTTGACTCACATATATGATGGATGTAATCCACAATTAAGCGTCATATTTAGTCGCATTTAAAGGTGTCTGTATTAATGATCTCTGTTTTCTCTTTTCTCATTCAGAGAAAAAGGAGGTGTCCAAGGAGACGTCAGAAGCCTCCGTGAAAGAAGAAGTGGAAGGCGCAGAGGAGCCGGTCAAGGAGCCAAAAAAGGAGAAGAAGGAGAAAAAGGAGTCGAAGAAGGAGTCGAGCAAAGAGCCCAAGGAGGAGGCAAAGAAGGAGTCCAAGAAAGACTCATCCTCCTCCAAGGAGAAGAAGGAGTCCTCAAAGGAGAAGAAGGAGAAAGACAAAGACAAGGAAGGGAAGGAGGCCAGCAAGGAGTCGGGGGACAAGAAAGTGTCCAAAAAGGTGTCTGTAAAAGTGAAAGAGAAGAAGAAGGAGCCAGAGGCCGGAGACGGCTGACAGGAGCAGTGCAATAAGTTCATATGATATGCATAAATAAAACACAAGATACACATATACACACTCCATATAAATATACATGTATGTATATACAGTGTCCATGTGAACATATACAAGGCAACATAACTCCACACACACACACACACACACACACATTCACATATGCAGTCTAAATATATATTTACATGTAAATACTCATTCAAGGCCATATATCTCGCAAAGCAATTTCCTCTCAGACGCATATTTACATCGTCTAGTAATAGTTGATCCTCACACACACACACACAAACACACACACACACACACACTCTTTCTGTGTCTCTGGGCTGCTGCTGCTGAACCACACCACATCCAGTAGTTTTAGTGTGTGTGTGTGCTCTGGGCAACCGTGGTGAGGTCTGAGCCCACGGAGAGCGAGGAGGAAGGCGAAAATCCTCCTCCTACTGCTTTCCTCAGACATTTCGCTGACTCTCTCCTTCCTCCTCCTCCTCCTCCTCCTCCTCCTCGTCTTCTTCGTCTAGCCTCAGCAGCAGTTGAACCCACAGTCCTGCGCCTCCCTAATCCCAGTCAGGCCCCAAACCACCCCCCCGCCCACGCACACTTGTGGATGTGACGTCGGAACCCGCCCTCTCGCCCCCTCGTGTGGCACCGGGCCTCGCCGGAGCCTCCCCCGCCTCGCCTCTAAGAATAAATCGGCTGCCGCGTCCAGCAGCCCCGCTGCTTCCGGGTAAATCAAGGCCACATCCTACAGCCGCCACCACCACCACCACCACCCCCTCTGACCTCTTCCAGTCAGTTTTGTTTTTTAAATCTGGGACACTCAAGGACACGCGGCTGCTGATGGACACATACTCGGTGCAGCGGGGTCGAACCTGAGACTGTTTTTGTACGGGGGAAACCAACAGGGCGTTTCTGGAAAAAGCAGGGTGGCAATCAGCAGCCTGCAGGGCCGCTTTAACACCCGAGGCTTTTTCTGCTCATCTTCGAGAACATCACGAAGCGGAGGCTCGATATTAAATACACTGCGAGGCACGTGTGTCGTCTACAACATCAGCAGCACATTTCACCAGCTCCATACCATACTGTTTGATATGTTACAGTAAGATGACCGTCACTAGTGCCAGAGGAAGAACAGAGTGTTGTCTAGGTGTGGCTTTTAGAGTAAACTGCACGAGATACTAAATTATTGTAAAAGATCAGTTCACAAATTGCATCAAAGAAACATATTTTCTCCCTTTTATTGGTATCAAACCATGCAGATAGGTAGTTTATGTTGGATCTGTGCACGCTCTCAGTAGAGAGGTCTTATTAAAAACTTTAATAACCAATTGAAGACTGAATGTGTTAAGACAACATTTAACATTTGGGAAAATATTTTTTGGGGTTTGGTTAAAAACAATATTTCATCAAAGTAAGGTACTGGAAAAACTTATAGTTTGGATATTGGTATCAAAGTATTGACCCATATAAAACGTTTAAAACAAATCCCAACTTTTGTTAACAGATCCATCACTGAGATTTCTGCCTCCTCCACTATACTGAAGTCAATCAGTGCTGATATCACAACACTGAACAATTACATTTATCATTCCACATCATCTTCTTCTACAGAAAGTAGCTCCACTGTGAACTGTGTGCTCTGTGGATTATTTACTTTAAGAGGATGGTTTTTTTGGAGGGACTAGAAGAAGCTGCTACTGAGTTCAAATGTAAGTTTATTATACTATTGGGGTGGAGGCAGAAATGTGAGAGACAGATATCTTAAAACCCGGGCTCATCAAACCAAAACTATCTGCATGGTCTGAAAATGGTATTCCCAATACTGACAAAAACAAGATGAAGAATCATTTTATTTCTATCTTCAAAGAGAAATCTTTTAAAATATGTATTACTGGCCTTGTGTTTAGTCAGATTTACAACATAGTTGCAGAAAGATAGAAAAACCTGATCAGTCAAGTTGAAAATGAATCAGGAGCTTTGAATCAAAACAGTCGAGATGGGAATCAGTCTGGACCCATTTCATGGTTTATAAAAACACAAAAAGCCGTTTGAGGAGTTTCCTTCCAGGATGAAGTCACCACTGTTTGTCAGGAGTGAACAAAATGAAGACAAATTCTGGTCACAAACGTCCTTGTTTGACAGTTTTACAGAGCGGGCCCTGTTGATGTTGGAGATATTGTATTACAGGCTCAAAAAATGTTTTTCCTTTTCATTGTAGAAATGTAAAGCTTTGGACAAACAGTCACTCACACACACACACACACACACACACACACACACACACAATTTAGGAGCTTTGAGCTGTATTTCTGCCAGACTTGAAGCTTATAGACTTCAGCCATAGATGCTGTGCCAGCCTAACAAACGACAATCCCAGCAGCTCTGTATACAGTCTGCACCACGTCTGTGCGTTCAGCTTCAGGCCTTCTGTCCACGGGGAACCTTCTGAAGGCTTGAAGGCTTCTCTTCTTGTTATTTGACTGGTCAAAGATCTGATCTCGGTTGGTTTTATGTTTTTAGGGTTTTTAAATGTTAAATATTTGGAACTTTTAGCACGGATAAAAACACAGTCTGAAAGTAGAATGTAAAATAGTTGTTACAGAGGTTCCCATTGGACACAGGGTGCTACTAACAACATGTTACTGTTTCAGAATACCTTGAATGTTTGTAATATAGAGTAGGTTTTGCACTGTTGTATTAGCTGTTCAGATGTACTCAGGCTCCTGTGGTGAGTCTGTTTTTATAGCCACAGTTCATTATAAAAGGAGCAGCTCTACACTTGAAAACAACTGATGATTGTCGACGTGTAGGCTGAAAAAGAGCCCCAACCAAGGAGTTTGAGAATGAAATAAACCTTATTTATGAAATATTTAGTAATAAAAATAATCTACTGTAAGTAATCAAAGCCTTCAATTAGTGCTTTATTTTATATATTGTAACAGCTGTATTGTTATATTGTGTTTCCTTGTATGTTGGTCTTTGTTCTGCTGGTCTGGAAAAGATCAGATTGATTTCATTTGAATTATTCTGTGTTTTTTATTCTAACAGCTACGGGACAAATAACCAGCTGAATTTTACCTGAAGGCTCATCTGCCACTTTAATCTCCTTCCAAACTGAAAGTTTCTTCATAAACTTTATAAAGTTTAAAACAGTAATTTTGCCCTCAGAGTTCGGTGCCGGATCGTCTCCGCTCTGCTCCGACACAGACGCTGTAAGTAGATCACAGCTGTGGTAAGTTCTGATAATAACCTGTAAAGTGATCTTTTAACAACGATCTTAAGGATGTATAGTTAGGAACATTGCTCGCGTTGCTTTGTATTACAGATGTCTTTTGTTAGCTAGCTAGCATAGCACCCAGACAACTGTAACTTGACACCTTAAATGTAATATATAAGTTTAGCCAAGGTATTTTAATGAATTTAGTCATGTGACACTGAAACTTAATGTATAATTCTTGTAGATTACAACCTGGAACGTTGGAACTCACCGGAAGAGTACGGAGAGTTTGGGAAGAGTAAAGAAAAAAGCAGTCAGCGTGCAAACAAACCGTGTGGTTGGCCCCTAAGTTCACTTATTTGGAAGAGAAACTGTAAAATTATGATTATTATTATTATTATGTCTGTTGTAAACGTCCATCGCATTAGGACTTTTTTTTTTTTACATACGTAACTTAAAATAAGTCAATGTCTCGTGGGTGAAAGTCCTGTATTTGTAATGTTCCGTTAACATTACGTAACTGATGTAAGTCAGGTAAAATGAGTCAACTTTGACCTTTGGTTTCACGCGGGACTCAGACCGCTCTCCTGGGTGAAAGTCCACTGTTTGTTTGACCCATCTATCCACCCCACCCCGGACTTTTCACGTCTAGGCGAGGCAAAATGTGACACTCGGTTGGCGGGTCTATTACAGGCTTTGGCGTGAGACTGGCCCGGACCACAGCACATAACTGACCCGCCATACAGAACTTACAATAGATGATATGTGCAGATTGTGATAAAAACAGCTGCTTCTCTGAAGAGCTGATGATGGGAAATCCTCATAAGATATGTGTTGCCCTTAGGCCACAATTCGTTAAATTCTTGGAGTTGTAGCGTATTTCCAGAGTTTTCCCTTTCAAGAAAGACTGAATTTCCGACTTTCCGTCGTCTCGCGAACGCGGCGCGATTTTTTACATTTCTCTGTTCCCCGGAGAGTTGCAAGAGTAAGTGCAGAAAAGAACCTGAACACTTGTCAGGTTGATGAACAGGACTCAGTCTGACGGCTTTTGAAGTGATTGTTTTTGTTTTTTCTTGTCTTTGGGGCTCTGGAGGCGAGGTCAGCTGCAGATTGGGTAACGGTGCTGAAGCAGAGCTGCCGCTGTTTCATTTGGCAGCAGCTCTCAGTGTGTGAACATGCTGCAGCGCCGCAGATACAGTTACACTCTTCTCTCACAATTTCTCTGTTTCTCTTTCTCAATCACTCATATTTTCATTTCAGTCTCTCGGCTCATATCTGTGTTTATCCCCCTCCCACGTTACACACATCAAACTTTTTCTCTGTTTTTGTTTTTCTCTTCAGGTCTATTGAGCCCCCTCTCTGTTAATCTTTCCCTTCATCTCTACATTTTCACATCAATCACCATCTTTCCATTGACACTTCTCACAAAAAAAATCTTTTTGGTCACTTTGTACTCTTTACCTTCTCCTTTCATAGTTTTAAATCTTTTCTCTTTAGTTTTTTTCCTCTCTTACCATCAGTCACTCCATTTTAGTTTTTCCTTTTTTTCCTTCCATAATTTACTTCAAATCTCTGTTCCATCATAACTCTTTTACAATAACTCTTTCTCAATCCCTCTCTTCTGATCCCTCTCAACCCTCGCAAGATTATCAGCCTCTCTTTGTTGTTTTCTTCATACCCTTCCCTGCAGACGGGAACTTTTCCTGGAACTGTGGAACTTTCTTGAAGAAGTACTCATCCTCCCTTTGTCCAAGCATGGAAACTTATTGGTTGAACTTTAATTTCTTTAGCCAATCATGAAAAAGTCTTCAAGCGGCAGAAACTTATGGTGACGTTGGAATTTTGTTTGGAATATTTGTTGAGAATAATAAACATCTCTGATTGGTCAGATACAAACTTTGTGTGTTACACAACCGCCACGTTCGGCTTTCCCTTTGCTCTAAGACTGTTTTCAGTAAGTTTACAGCTAAGAGATAAAGATAAGACAGCATGCTGCGTACAGTAGTAGCAGTAGCAGTAGTACAGCCACAAAGTTTCTGTTTAATTAATGAGCATCAGTCATGGGCTGTTTGTGTCCCATGTAAAACCAAAAGCAAACAGTATGTTACGTCACATGAGCTTTATTTTCAAAAGTCTAACTGGATGTAGCATATTTATTCTTGACCGCAGGGCCCTGCACTTCCAGAAATGATGTGAGAGGGATACCTACAGCGTGATATTGTGAAGCAGACAGTTACTGACCGAGCTGCAGTGTTTAAGGAGTTGGGAGTGAGTCCGTGTTGCCTCAGCATATCACAAATCACAAATTGGTCTCAAGGAAGCGGCTTTAAGTCTGTACAGTATATTAGATCTTAGAAACTCAAATAAGTGAAAAGAGGACAAGGAGAGGAAACTAGGCAGAGAGGCAGAGGTACAGCTTGGAAGCCCATGTGCTTGTAGGACAACAAACAAACGTTATGTGTTCAGTTACAACTTTGCCTGAATTCCAACGGTTCATTGTGGACTTCTCAGAGGTGTCTGATTGTTTTTTCTCGTGTTTTCTTTGCGTCTCATTTTCTTCTGCTGTTCTCAGTTCTCTTGCAAAAGAGATTATGTCATGAAATGATATAATAAGCTGGTAAAACACAAGAAATGGAAGCAAATAAACACCAACAGTAAAAATAGAGAGTAAGTAAATGTATCTGACTGCTGGGAGGTGCTCTGCCAGTGGACATCCGGGGTCATTTCTCTTCCATCCTCACATTCCCTTTTCCTCTCACAAAACTTCTCTTACTCTAATTTTTCCCATCAGGCTTTTCTTCCAGAGCTTCACTTTCTTCCTCTTTTACTCTTTGGTTTGTGTTTTGTATTTGTGACTTTAAACACTTTTCCAGATTTAGTTTTTTCCTCCTCAGTAACTTCTTCCCTCATTCTCGCCTCGGTCCAGTAAAACAGCTCTGATGTGAGGAACCACCAAACATGGCTGCACACACCCAACTGTTAAAAACATCAAACAACAATACTCCAACAATCAAAGTGTAACCGGGCCGCCGCAGTTTGGACACAGTGTAATAAAAGCAGAGTTTGGATTTAGACTTTGAGGAGAAAGCGGCTCAGTGTGGGTTTTATTTCGGAGCTTATTTCAGTCTCTCGGGGGTTTAAGGCGTAAACAAACTGGATTAGATAATTGCCGCATCATTTTACTCTCGCTGCAGATTTGAAGCGTCAGCAACGTTTCACCTCCGCCACAGGGAACTTAAGTGGCTCGGATTTCTTTTTTGTGTGAACAATACTGATCCCATGTTTTGATCCCAGGGGAAAATTACCAGAAATTATATTTAGTTTCCTTGGTAACACATATCTTGGTTTTGTTCCTCTAAGTGACATTACAACATTTTCTCTCTCCCATGAGGAAAGATGGAAAACAGATTTTAGATCATATTTTCATCATTCTGTTTCTGTTCTATTGCTATAAAACAAAGTAAGATACCATAATATTCCCTGAATAACACAACCAGATTATACGTTCTGTTGGCCTATTTTACAGTTTGTTTGATATCATAATAACCTGTAATATTTCTACTGTTCTGTTTGGGTGTCAGAGACAGTAAAATATCCGTCACACAGATTTATAGTCCAAAAATACCCAAAAATGATTTGAATTCTCATTTGATGGAAGCTTTAAGACCCTAAAGGAAAAGCCCTGCATTATGTTCACAGACAGTGTGTTTACAAGTCTTGCTTTCGACATTGCTTTCTGCAGCTACACTGTGGTTAAGGTTAAAGACTCCAAACTGTATGCATTCATAAACACATCTGCCACTATTGGGGCAAACAACCCCCGTGAACCAGCTAACGCAGCATCTGAATAAGGTCCAGGTTATCCGAGAAAAGAAGCAGGTTGCGTGACGTGTTGTTCATGTGGGGAGAATTAAAGGATGGAGTGCATCATGAGGGACACTCCCTGATTTCCTTACAACCCTCGTCCTTTATGAAGATATCCGTATAGAAATGGTGCTGTGGATCATGTGCCACTTCATGGTTCCTGCAGAAAGCCCTGAAGGGAAACCCGTGTTGACTGCTGACTAAACTCACATAGCCAGATCTCCACACTGCGTTGTAGCAGGTTGGAGATGGAGCAAGTGCACAAAAATAATGCACGTTAGGGTAGCACATCTGCGTCGGGAAAAACTCAAACAATCTGATGTTCGCTCATTTGCTTCCAGTTAGGAAGTGGTGTTATTCTGCGTTGTTAAAGTAAGAGGGGAGTGGATTTCTGAAGCTATTCAACCATCCCACAAGCAGTTCTGACAGTGACCCCTTAACCTCCCCTCCTGGCACAGGGACGGTTCCCCCCAGCTTGACTGTTTTTCTTCGCGCCCACTTCCTGAGTGCCTCATCCCCTGGACCAGTTCAGTTTCCGCCATGTGTGCCATCCAGCAAGAGGATCTTTATCTATATGTAGTCTTCTGTGCCCTGTAAAGGTCTAGTCATTTTACTGACAGTTCAGCATGAACAGATAAATGTCGAATTCACACTGAAATTGGTGAGTTTTTTCTTTTCTTTTCTCTTTGACCTTTAAAAGCAGCCACATTGAACATGTCTGGTTGGTATGTTGAGGATGTCTGGAGTGTGTGTGTGTTCCTGTTCTGGTCCAGAGCAGCAGGTAAGGAGCTGAAACAGAATCATGGAGGGAAACAAAACCCCTC